AGAGAGAGAGAGAGAGAGAGAGAGAGAGAGAGAGAGAGAGAATGAATTGCACCAGAATGCCTACATTGATTTTTTCCAGGCAGTTGAATTGTAGATTATCTTATTTTCTCTTTTTGCCTGTATGTTTTTCTAGTTATTATCATTTCACAATATATTGGTCTGTATTGATTAATATTAAAAGCAGTTTCTAATTTAGCTTATTTGGATCAAAAAATAGCTAGAGATTACAAATAATGTTTTATAGCAACTGTCCCCAATAAATGTGAAGAGCATGAAGCATGTAGAAGAGGAAAACACAACGCAGTCTCAGTTCTGTCTTCCTTTCCTTCACAGCTGTTCCTACATCCAGTAGTGATGAAACTGAGAACATCTGGACTCCAGAAGAAGTTCCTGAGGGTGCAGAGCATGATGATATGTGGGACATTCGAGAACTCCCAGAGTAAGTCACGTGAAGCCAGGACTATGTGTTTAGGTGCTTACGTTAGATGTGTCATCTTAGACAGTTATATTTTTGGCAAGATTCCTTAAGTAACTTGCACCACACAAAAGATAAAACTACAGTACCACAAAGAAAGCATATACAATTGTTTTTCCTGTTCTAGAACCAAAACAAATAATAAAGCATATAACCCCTTCCTTTCAGATATCATCTAGAAAAGGTGAAAAATATAGCCACTTCCAATAGGAATGTCTATTCAATATCAGTTTGATGTGTAATGTAGAACTAACACTGAGAGGAAAATAAAACCAGCCCATTAAATTTCAAGCATTTATACAAACCAAATTACAATACCATGTTTATGTTTCAAAGACCTGATTTTAATTACTCAGTGTTCTGTAATTTCAGTAAAAAGCTATGTCCTCCCTCCAATTGTCAATGATCATGCAAACTTATTTCCTAGCTATTTCAAGAGTATGCTTAGAATTCAGTATATTTTGCAACCAGGATTCAGTCTTTGCTTTGAATCCTTTTCAATATCATTGAATTGTGAATTTAGAATTAATATCATGGAAAATCCTTTCATTTAATATAATTTGCTCTTATAAACAATTGAAAATATATTTACATACATAGATGAAATTAATGGCTAAATAGACTTTAAGCATATATCTTAAGCTTAGTATAGCTAGAAATACAAAACAAATATTTACTACATTATAGTGTCCTCTATTAGTTCTGGGTTTTGTTGTTGTTGTTGTCATTTTTTGAGATAGGGTCAGGCCATACAGCCTAAGCTGGTCTCAAGCCCATGAGCTTCCTGCCTTCACTTCCAAGTGTGTATCACCATACTTAGATTTACTTTATTCAGAAACACTTTTATGGCAATTAATCTGAGAAATCTTTTTAAGTTTGACTGCAAAGCTCCCCAGCACATTTTTAAAATATGATTGTATGTTCTATGTTCATTCTGAAAATAAAAGCAGTGGGAGACTGCAGATAATTAACTGGAAAGGATACAGCTTTCAAATTGTGTCAAAACCTAAAAACATTATAAAAATAACTCAGTGTTTTTATAAGCATTTCTATGTCCTAAGAATGAAAAAGTAACTCTCTCAAGATATATTTATATGGGTCCCACACATCTGTATGAAAGGTAAAAATTAAGTCACTCATTATCATATTATAAATGAATGCTACACATCCATATACGGCAAGCTCCAAGCAGGAGTAAATGCCCACTTTTCATCTAGATATTTGATATTGCCTAGAAAAAGCACCCATAAAAGTTTTAAATAATTAACAACCCCAGTTAGGGCATGAGGAAAACTGCTTCACAAGAATTTTCATCTTGATTTTCTACTTTATGAAAATACATTTCAAAATGCTTTAACGGGTAAAGAGAAAAATAGGTAAAGAACACAAACAGATTTTCACAAAAGAAGAATTGCAAGAGGCTGAATGGAAAAAATAATAATAAAGGACTGAACTAAGTCACATGCCTGTGGAGGAGAAATTGGAGGATCTCTACTTAAGAGAGTTTGAAAGAAGATTTAATATTTGATTGGATATGTTGGATAAGAATATATCATCATGGAGTTGGGGAGATAGCTCAGTGGTTAAGAGCACTGGCTGCTCTTACAGAGGACCCAGGTTTGATTCCCAGCACCCATATGGTGGCTAACAACTTTCCATAACTCCAGTTCCAGGGGAATCCGACACCCTCTTCTAACCTCTGCAGGCATTGCACAACACAGGTGCATTTACACACATGCAGGCAATACACTCATACTCAAACTAAAACTATAAATAAAACATTTTTAAAAGGAAGAAATCATCGAAGAGGATGGTGAAGCTACTATTTAGATTTGAGTTGGGGAAGAAACAGTGCTATATAGACTCTAAGGTGCCTTGGGGACCTCAAAGTAAACCTGCATAATAGGATGCCGGGAAATTGCACCTGGAGCTCAGCATAATTGCAGAAGCTTGTAAAACTCTATCTTCTAGTCCTGAGCATACAGATAAACTTTTTTTGTTTTGTTTTAACCTGGATTCACCTTTGTAAATATTTGCTGGGCATTATAGCCTATTAAGAGTAAAGTATCCCATAGCAAACAGCTACTTATTGTTAGTCCCATTGAACCTCAGAGAAATTCCTTTTAAATTCGTGTGCTTTCTTATTTGCAAATGTTCAGAAATTCAATATATTGTTTTAGTCTTCTAATATGGAGATGCACCTTTTCTTCCTTAGGGTAGAACTGAAGAGGAAAAATAATGTAAAGGGCTGAGAGTGTGGGTCACTGGTAGAACACTTTTTAGCATGTGTGAGGCCCTGGTTTAGATCTCCAGCACTGAAAGAAGAATGGGGGGAGGAGGAAGATCAGAAGAAGGAAAGAGGAGGAGGAAGAATAAGAAAAGAGGAGGGAAGAGAGGAAGTGGGAGGAGAATAAAAAAATAATTTGCAAACTTTTACTTCATTCTATCTGAACACATTGAGTACCTTCTATATGGGGGCTTCCGGAAACTGCTTTTCCTCTTAAAATAAAGAGAAGAGTTGTGACTTGCAGGGGGTATGAAATATCAGGAAAATCCTTCTGTGAATCAAGAATTCCATAGGACTAAACTCTAAACTCCATCATCTATCTGTGCCAGTTGTACCACCACTGTTTCTGCTACAGAATTTTAGAAATGGAAATGACCATAAACCTCAGATGATTCACACTCATCTCTCCCATAAATCATACAAATGTAGAAGCCAAGAGCCTCTGCATTTGTGACTTGACCAAGGCCACACAGTTAATGGCAGATAGTACTAAATCTGGATTGTTTTTGCTTTGGAGTTTAAAATTAGCGGAAGATTTCTATCCACCAAACCCTAGATTATGGTCCAGTATTTTTCTGAGCTATTGTGTTCAAGGAATGGGACTTTTTGCCGCTTCAACTTTATTTTAATTTTATTAGAATCATATTAGAAGTTTCTTCAACCCACTGTATTTTTATAGCTCTAAAACACTTAAACTTTCTTTTAAAAAGCTGTGTGTGGGGCTGGAGAGAAGGCTCAGCGGTTAAGAGCACTGACTGCTCTTGCAGAGGACCTGGGTTCAATTCCCAGCACCCCCATGGCGGCTATGAACCATCCTTAACTCCAATTCCAGGGGAACCCGAAGCCCTCTTCTGACCTCCGTGGCATTGCAGACACGGGTGCACTCACATACATGCAGGGAATACACTCACACACATAAAACAAAAGTAATAAACAAAATATTTTTTAAAAGCTATGTGTACAAAATCATAATCCTGCTCTTTTGTGTTTAGTGTTTTGGGTTCATTTATAGAACTCCGTTCCTTTATGTTCTAATACATGTTTGAAAAATAGCAAGCACTTTGTCTATTTAGTCATTTTATTTACATTTTGTACTAACATATGCTCATACGTTTCCACTTTGTATGTGTATTGTAACAAAAAATTGCTCTTTTCCCTGAATATTGTCATTGACATTTTTTAGATATGAAATTGTGTTCCAACAGCAGGTGGGAACGGAGGATATATACCTAGGATTAACAGGAAAGGATCCTTCAACAGCATATTGTCAGGAGCTATTGGTAAGCTTCAAACTCCTTTTTCCTGTTTTGTATATGGCCATTAGAAATAAAATTGACTGTTATATTCACAATATTCAGACACTAAGAAATTAGTGAGGCAGTTTAAAATTGATCAGTTGCAAAATCACCTAAACTTAAATACAGTAAAGATGTTTTACAAATAAACATAATAAAGTCATATCATACAATTCACTAGTTCTACTCCTAATGACACTGCCTGCTATCATTGTACTGAATATTCCTTTGTTTTAGTTCTGTTCCCAGGCATACTATCTGACTGGTTGTTACCTCCTGATTAGCTGACAGGCAATCAAGTTAAAATGTTTCTTTCCCTGAATCTGCCTTATCTCTTACTTCTGTATTCTTGTATGACTCTGCTTGTAATGAGGGATTTCGAAAGAAAATTATTTTCTTAATTTTTAGATCTGAACTTCTGATTTATACTACTAAAAAGACCTATAAAATGTTGCTTAATTCCCTTATTCAAATGACACCACAGCACATTGAAGACCATGTCACCATTTCTACATCATAACAATAGAAGAGCAATAGCAACACCAACATTTTCAGTGCTACCACTTCATTGCCATGTATTCCATCCTCATAATGATTGTGTTGAAAAGTCTGCATCAAACATAGAATGTGCTGTTCAATTCATTTTGGCACCATGTGCAAGTAATTGGTGTCATAATTTTATTTCTTAGTTCAGGGGCTATGCTTTAATCTTTTCCCCTTTTCTCTTACATTATAGAGTACTGGGGCACCCCTAGGAGGTGCTTAATATTTTTTCTCAAGAAGATGATAAATGGACTCTCCTTTTGGCAGTAACTTCAAGTTTTCTCTTATTAGCAAAATCTAAGACATTCAATTGAATCAAATAACATAATGGGAATAGTGACTCTAAGTACCTCAGGAGATTTTTCAAACTCTAATGAGTTAAGGTTTCAAGTGATCTTGAAGTAATTAGCTCCCAGGGCCTTACCAGTAATATTCAAATTCCTCTCTCTTAAATTACTGTAAAATTATGTTTTTTGATGTCTAGTGTTGGGGATTGCTCAAAGCTCTGGAGAAATTCTAGACTCTAAACAAATAAAACTGTTGCAAATCTTTCCATTTTTCTTATGTAAATTGCTATCAGTTTTAATAATAAACACATTCTGAATAAAGAATTTTGGAAAATAAATATCTCATAACAGGAATATACAGCTTATCTAAAATTAAATAAGTGATCCTTCCTTCTAATGAATTTATAATCAACTGGAGAAAAAACACCTAATATAGATAAACTGATTTTATTATTAAAATTAAACTCAAGGGACTAGAGAGCTGGCTCAGTGGTTAAGAGTGTTTATTGCTCTTGAAGAAGACTGAGGTTCGGTTCCCAGCATCCACATGGAGGCTAACAACCATCTGTAACTCCAGTTTTAGGGGACTTCATGCCCTCTTCTGGCCTCCAAAGACATTGGATGCATTGGTGCACTTACATCCACACAGGCAAAACACAAAAGTTACACATAAAAACAAATTTTTTTAAAGAATTAAACTCAATTTAGGTTTAGGTTATTAGTAGGACTAGAGGTTTAGATAAGGCATGAATACCAATGAAGGGAAGTAGTAAATAAAGCAGTTAGTCATGCCACAGCATTTTTGGGTGTGTGTGTGTGTGTCTGTGTGTGTCTGTGTGTCTGTGTGTGTCTGTCTCTGTGTGTGTGTGTCTGTCTTGTCTGTCTGTGTGTCTATGTGTTATGTGTGTGTGTCTGTGTGTGTGTGTGTCTGTGTATATGTGTGTGTGTGTATGTAGTCTAGCAGACAATTTTGGGTTGCATTCTCATGAACACTATTCATTTCCTTTGAGCCATTTTTTCCTATTGGCTTGGAGCTCACAAATTAGGCTAAACCGAGAGGACACAAAGCCCCACAAATCCTCTTATCTTTGCCTTCCCCAGCCCTGAGATTACGAGTATGTACTACCATGCCTCATATTTTCATGTGGGTTCTGGAGATTAAACTCATGTCCTGGTACTTACCAGACAAGCACTTTACCAACTGAGCCATTCCACAGCCCCACACTTTGCCACTTGTATTCTATTCTTTTTATTTTCTTTCTTTCATCTTTATTCTTTATTTTATATACTCAGTAAATCCTACACACCAAACATTGCCCTAAGAACTAGATATAAAAAGAAATAAGAAATAGTCATTTTTTTCTCAAGGAATTTGCAGGAATAAATCAACTAACTTGTTTGGAGGGATAGAATTTCTGCAGTAGAACACATTTGACGAAGGCCTTCTAAGCAGAGATAAGAGCACGTGGAAACGTGTACAAGCACGAAATAACATGACATATTTGAGTAAACTGTGAATACAACAAGAATCAATAAACAGTGTGGGCAATGTACTGGTAAGCTCTCAAAATAGAGCTTTTTTAAAGCCATGATTTGGATTGGAAGTGTTTAGGTCAGAAATAGAGTACTTGCCTAATTTGCAGTAGGTTATGGGTTCAATTCCTTGCTCCACAAATGATCAAACCCCTAGTTCTGAGCTTAAATTTTATTCTGTGGGTATATTAATGATGGCACCCATTCTCATTGCTTAAACTCACTGGTAAGCCAAGAGACTGTTGACACCATCTCAAGTATTTCTTATTTAATTTTATGTGCTTATTTTTCCCATTGGTAATATGGTGTTTCTTTTGATCTAAGATATCTTTACATATAAATGTGTCACTTATTTGATAAAATGCTTTATAGTAAAGGTACAACAAATTAGTATTAAATGCACACATTTATTGTGCTGCATCCTAATATTAAAACATGGAGAAAATTGAACCTTGGATTTTGTTGACCGTTTTAACTTGGTTTTGTTCCAGAGACTTTAAGAAGAAAATTTTTGTTTCTTATGCCCTTGCTTAAGCTGATGAAGGTAACATAAGTGCAATCTGTTTAAGTAAACGGAATAATTTTATCTTTAAGAATTCGCAAGGGCTACCTTTTCCTGTACCTCCCCAGATTCCAAACAAGAAAGCAGGGTTTATGATTCCTAAATCAAAATGAGCTAAGGATATATCCTCAGCAAAATTTCCTTCTAACTATGAACGTAAAGAGCCCTGTTATTCAAATTCTGATGACCTATTGTTCTCTGCTCCTAAACTCCTGGGTATGTAGCTACCAGTCTCCTTTGCCTTAATCTATATTGAAGTATTTTAGAGCTGCAGCTAGTGCTAAATCTATGGTTTACAAATTTGTTTTGCTTTGTTTTTAGTTGCCAGATCTTTTCTTTAAATACAATTTTATGAGAAGGCCCAAGACATAAAACATATAAAAGTACCATTTCCTTGGTGTAAAGGGTATCTTCACCAATGAAGTATCTTATAAGAAAGGCAGGGGCTCCTTGGAACACAGTTTGGAGAATATTGATCTAGTCTCTCCTCCTTACATTGCGGTATTAAGGTCAGGTTTATAAGACATTAAATGCCCATATTAATTAATGAAAGAATAGTAAAAGATCTAAAGAGTTTCTTCTTCATTGGTGACATGGAGTGTTTCTTTATACCTAATCACTCAAAAGTCCTTACTTTGTTTTATTTTATTTTATTTATTTTATTGTCCTTTTCTTTCTTTATAGTCTGTTCCCTTCCCCACAAGTCTCCACTATAATGGGTTTGATGTATATCCTTGACCATATTATCTTGGAGTACTTACATATCATTGTTTGCTGTAATTTTTTTTAATTCAACAAATAGTTAAAGAGAACTTCCTGTGTTCCAGAAGCTATTGATGGACCTCATACTAGATACACAGTGTTGAATAAAATAAACAATGTTCTCCTCTCTTACTGACAAGACATCAAGTAGTCCATAAAAAGTAGTACTGTGGGAGCTTCTAGGCAGACTATCATACTTTCATAGATTCAACAAGAGGGAAATGATGATCCCAAAAGAAAGAAATTATTACTTATATAGACAGCACTAACAAGATTAGTCAACTCCTTGAATCTCTTCTCGCACATGATAAAATCAAACCAAAGGGGCCAGATGGCATGTAACCTGAGCAGTAGGGTAGTCTGCTTGCTGAAGGGTCAAGTCTACACTGTAGCTAGCTACTTTAGAGTCTGCATCTGCACCCAGGGTAAGTGAAGTGGAAAGCTCTGTGCTTTTCTGGAACTGGGGAGTAGTGTAAGAAACTGTCTCATGACAACCTCCTACAAGATTGAGGGCCTCCTACAAGGTGGAGAGACAGATAAGAAACAACACTGAGGCAACTCCTCAAAGCCTGCTTATCTTCCATGTTCTGGGAGGATCACAAAATGTTCTGCCAAGCTCTAGGTCACACTATAGTCTAACCTTGCCTACATGGCCTATGTGGATGCTGCAAGGTCACTAGAGTGGCATGAGAGCCATTTCCTTACAGTATAAATAAATGGGGGATTTTTGTCCTGATGCTTTCACTTTAACAATAATAGCAAACAGTTTATATAATGCTTGTTGTGTGATAGGCATTTCTCTACAAACTTTACATGTAACACTTCATTAATTTCCACACCAACCCTATGAAGGAGACGTTATTATTGCTCCCTATTTTACAGATGAGGGCATCTTAGCACAAACGACTAACTTGCTTAGGGGCTTACTTGTACTTTTTGGCAGATCACACACTCTTGGAATTTGATAGATGTCCCACAGAGTGATATGAGTGCAAAGAAAAGGAAGCCCAAACCGATTTAGAAATAGAGATGGCATTTGACCTGGCCATTTGAAAGACAAATTGTCTGGCAGCAAAGGATGAAAAGCTTTCTAAACAAAGTTACCAGTAAGAATAAGGACACTACGAAAGCAGGTGGTGCCCCAGAAGGCATGAAGATATATAGAAGAGAAGACAGAGTAAGTGAAGCAGGACTAGATTTGAAAGCCCCCAAATTTCATGCTATGTGTTATGGCCTGAATTGTCCCCCTCAAATTCATATGCCAAAGTTCTAAAATCCCAGCGTGATAGATTGATGAT